CTCTGAGACCTCCTGAGGAGGGACCACTCTGTGGTGGATGCCCCCAGGAACTGGGAAGAAACCTCAGAGCCCCTCTCTGCCTCCTGCCTCAGAGCAGAGCAAGAGTCAGGGTGGGACAGATAGAACGGCAATGTCCTTGGGTGCCTGTCTATCCATGTCCGTGCTGTCCCTTCCTTAGGTTCCAGGGGGGCCTTCTGGGCTCTGAGGAGTGGGGTGCTGCCTTTCTGGAAGTCAGTCTGTAACATGCTTCCAGAGCCTTAGACAGGCATGACCTTTGATCAGTGTGGCAATGGTCAACTCAAAGTCAGTGGTGGGACAAGTGCATAGGGATGGAGGCTAGGGGTGTTGGCTGCATCTTGTATGGAATGGTGGCGCTAGTGGGACCCAGAACAGGCTGCCTGAGTGTTGTTAGAACCTCAGGTTCACAAGTGTGATGCACGCCCAGGTTTACCTGCCCCTGGGTGGGTGTGCTGTTCAGTGACAAAAGAAAGCTCTCTATCTATCTATCGTCTATCTATCTACCTATCATCTATCATCTATTTGTTGTCTATGTGAAATGCAAGGTCAAGTCTGGAAGGACATACACCAGATACAACCAGCACAGTCTCCAGGCTGTGCTAGCAATTTCTTTATACTTTTCTTCTGTTTTATTTTAAAAAAATCTTTGTATTCCTCTTTGTAACAGGAAAAAAACTAAGCTGTCTCCATTTTTAAAGACAAAACAAATCAAAACAATGGGTTGCATGATGATAGAGCCCCGAAGAAACCCTCACTTGGGGCTCCAGAGGTGGTGGCGGGCCGGCTCCTCAGGCAGACCTGCCTAGTGTCACCGAGGACTGGGCACACAGCCAGGTGGTGGCTCCTCCACCAGCAGTGAAGAGGAGCCTCATCATGGATGGATATGAAAGACACAGTCTTGAGAGAGAGAAAACACATGCAGTCTCACTGAATCTATATGAAGTTCAAAAACAGATGAAGCTGAAAAACAGTTGTTTCAATGGCACCCAGAGGACATAAAACTATGGGAAAAAGTATAGAGATGGTTAACGCAAGGGCTCCTGAGGTCCTGGTCACGTTCAGATTCTAAGGTGGTACATGACCTATTTTATTATTACTTTTTAAACTTTACAAATACATTTTATGTATACTTTTTATGGTTGTTCTAGTTTACGGTTAAAGTAGAGGAAGTACATCAAAATATCAGCAGTGGCTCTTCTGGGCAAAGTATGAGGGGGGGATTTTCTCTCCTGTTCGCGTTTCTGTACTTTCTACATTATTTGGAGTGAGCCGTTGTTATTTTTAAACTAAAGACCAAGATGAATGAATTGTATTTTAACAAGAACTCAGAATACAAATAAGGCGATTTTCCCTTATGTTGAGCTGAGCTCGTCCACACTCTATTGCTTCCACCTGAGCCTGAAGTTTAGGGGCCCCAGAGACTACTTTCCATCAGGATGGTCCCAAGATAGGAGAGAAATATCTCCCAGACCTGGATCTTTCCTCCCAAGATTAGCCCCTCCAGGTCCTTTGGCTGACTCCAAACCTTTGAAGGCACAATACCAAAAGTGAACCATAATGTAAACTCTAGGCTTTGGACAATAATGACTGGTCAATGTAGGTCCGTCAGTTGTGACACAAGCACCCTCTGGAGGGGCAGATTGATAATAGGGAGGCTGTGCATGTGTGGCGGCAGGCAGTAAACAGAAAATTCCCGCACCTTCCTCTTAATTTTGCTGTGAGCTTAAAACTTCTCTAAAAAAATTGTTTAAAAAAATCAGTTGGCTCAGGTGTATAGTTTCGTTTCTGGACTCTCAATTCCATTGCATCGATCCTTATTCTTATGCCAGGACTGCATTTTGGTTACTGTCGCTTTTACTAAGCATTGAAATTGGAAAGTGTGAGTTCTCCAACTTTGTTCTTCATTTTCAAGATACTTTTTAAAATTTTATTTGAGAAGGAGAGAGAACGAGAGAGAGAGAGAGAGCGTGAGTGGGGAAGAGAGGCAGAGGGAGAGAGAGAATCCCATGCAGGCCCCATGGGTTCAGCATGGAGCCCAACATGGGGCTCTATCCCATGACCCTGGGAGCATGACCTGACCCGAAATTAAGAGTTGGACATTCAACTGACTGAGCCATGCAGGCGCCCCTCAAGATATTTTTGGCTCTTTAGGGTGCTTGCATTTCCATCTTTCAGTGCACAAACCTCACACCAGCTTGGTTAAATGTGTTCCTAGGAACTGTATTCTTTCTGATGTTATTGTCAGTGGGATTGTCTTAATTTCCTTTTTGGGATTGCTCATTGCTAGTGCATTCAGGTGGTGATGGCCCCAAGGTCACACTCAAGTCAGCATCAGCATCAGAACCCAAGTGTCGGGTTCAGTCACTTTGCACAGAACTGCCAGGCACCAAGGTTTCTGTGTTTCTCATGGTTAGGATCTATCCACCCACCCAACTATCTATCCACCCATTTACCCATCCAATTACTAACCTACCCATGAACTCATCAATACATTTACTCATCACCTATCCATCAATCATCCATCCATCTATCTACACGTCCACCCATCTACCCACACATCTATCAATCGTCCACCTATCTCTGTTCATGCACCCACCCACCCACCCAACTACCCATCCATCCATCCATCCATCCACCCACACATCCATCAATCATTCACCCATGCACATATCTATCTATTCACTCCTTCCTTCCTTCCTTCCTTCCTTCCTTCCTTCCTTCCTTCCCTTCCTTCCTTCCTTCAAACTTTCTTGGTAGCCTTGCAGTTACCAGGTACTGAATGGAAGATGAGATAAAGAGTCTGCAGTCCTAGGAAGAGACTGCACTCAGTGAAGGTCCTGGAAGAAGGAGGTGAGAGACCCAGAGGTATGCCCTCTAGGATTCCAGGATTCTGAGCAGAGCTCAGGGAGGCAGCCAGGGGCCAGCACCAGACCCAGGCTGGGGTGGGGAGAGGGCTGAGTGTAGGGTGAGGACTCTGCTACCCTCTCTTGTGAGCTACACAAACCTCCAGCTATAGCCTTGAATCTGCTTGTCCCTTTCCTGGGCCACACCTGGCTCTGTTTGTCACCTGTCCCACGCCCCACTGACCATAGGGTCAGTTTCTCTTCCCCTTATTTCTCCCCTTTTATCATCCTGAGTTCTGGTTTAGATCAAAGTTAAGATTAACTTTAGCTTGGGGGTTCCCATGGGTGGCCAGCAAGGCCACTAGAATTGGGGGAGGCAACTTACTCTAACCCCCTTTAGCTTTATGCCTCACTGCCCCTGCAGGCCCAGGGCCTCCATGCCAAATTCCTTTATGTAGTTATCCTCCTATTTCCTGGCAGGCTGGCCCTTGAAGCCTCTCACCCAGCAGTCCTTGGGCAGAGGGAAACGTTGGAGCCCAGAAAGGGGAAGCAACTTGCTCACAGTCACATAGCATGTCAGAGGCATCCCCTGGGCAAGAGCCCAGGAGATGACAGCAATAGCTGGGGGGGGGGGGGGGGTTAGTGAGGGTCATTGTGGATCAGGTACATCACAGACATTGTCTTGAACCCCCACACTTACCCTGTGGGGTAGAGACTAGTTATCTCCCCCTTGTACAGCTGAGGAAACTGAGGCCCACAGAGGGTTTGCATGTCACCCAAGGTCAAGGGCTGAGAAAGGCTGCATGTGAGTGAGGATCCCAGCCTGCCCAAATCTGGGGTATGGGCTCCTACCACAGAGTTTCCCCCAGGACCTTTGCCTGCTGGCCCTCCCTCTAGTCACCCATGGGTAGAGGGACCGTCACTGGGGTCTGCAGCCCCGGCTCAGCCTGCCATCCACTCTTGGGCTTCCTTTCTGCGCTTCTGAAAGGGAGTTGGGGCCACAGAATGACAGAGGGAGGTCACCCCATGTGAGCATGCCTGGTGCTTGGCAGAGGGCAGCTCTCCATACAGGAGCAGTTCTATGTGAGCTCAGGTAGGCCCCATCCTCTGCTGGACTCAGTTTCCCTGTCTATCAGATGGGAGGCCCCAGACTAGGAGTTGGGACATGTAGGAGTTGAGTCTGTCTTGTTAATAATTTTGGGCCTCAGTTTTCCTACCTGTGAAATGGGGCCATAATCCTGGCTGTCAACCTCACAGAATCTTTGAATGGCTCAGCTGAATAACATGTGTCCCCATGTTTTATAAATAGTATGGGCACAATAAGGCCACTCTATAATATCTTAGGGTACAGTTGCCTTTTGGAACCACAGATCTGGTCAGGGCCAAGGCCTTCAGGAGCTCTACCCCTGGGCTTGCTTCCTCTGAGCCCCATCCCTGTCCCTCTCCTGGGCTCTGGACATTCCAGTCAACTAGCAGGGCTCAGCATGTGCGTTCATGCCCTTGTCCTGCCTATCCCCTGCCTGTGGCACTGAGCACTCCTCCACCCTCGAGAACTCTTGCCCCTGGGACCCTGCCCTGGCCTGCCTCCCAGCATCCTCAGCACGTCCCTTCTCTGCATGGTGGCATCAGTGGGGGCATTCAAGGAAGGAAAGTGGACATCTCAGGAGGGGGTCTAATAGCAGACAGTGAGGCCCCAGGTCCAGGGAGGAGCTCAGACATTATCCAGGAGTCCATGGGCTTCAGTACTGCTGGTGACTGATGTGGTCCATGCAAGAAAAGCAAGCATACAGACATGGTGGAGGATAGTCTATCTTGGTTCGATTTGTATCTCCTATTCTGGAATATTCTCTGGCAATTCTGGATGAGAGTAAAACTACCCCTCAAAAAACATGAGGATGCCTTCTGCCAACTCCTTTCCCACAGGATGAAAAGAATGGTGTTCATGTTTGAAGATGGTTGAGTTTAGGGCACAAAGTGATGAACCCCAATGAGAACACGATTTCTGATTGAATGAAGGACTTTTTATTGAGCATTGATTGGGTGCAGGGAGAAGGGCTGGGATGATCCTGGTGGGAGGAGAGACCTTCCTGGAGGTCCATTGGCTGCACATCCTCTTGGGTGAGTGGGGGTCTCAGGCACCTAAGAGCACTCTGAGGGCACCACCCTCTTCTCCACGGTGCTCCCCTCGTGTGTGACCTGGCAGGTAAAATTGCTATAAGATTTCCACTTGTCAGGTGACAGACTCAGGTAGCTGCTGGCCACATACTTGTTGTTGCTCTGTTTGAAAGGCTTGGTGGTCTCCACGCCCTGGGTGACAGGGGTCCCTTCTGCCTTCCAGGTCACCGTCAAGTTGCCAGGGTAGAAGTCACTGATGAGGCACACCAGGATGGCCTTGTTGGCTCTGAGCTCCTCAGAGAAGGGCAGGAAGAGCATGACCAAGGGTGCGGACTTGGGCTGACCTGTGTGGACAGAGGAGAGGGGGGAGAAACACAGGGAGAGTCCAGGCTTTGGGCAGCCCTTTCCCCATCTATAGCCTCTGTGACTTTTCCCATGGTGGCCATGCTGGTTCACCCAGGGGATCCTCCTTTCCACTTCAGCCCTGGACAGCAGGCAGTTCCCCATGCTCCCAATAGCCCTTCCATGTCACCTCTCCCAGGTAGATGAAAGGTGCATCTGCAGCCTCGGTTTCCCCCTCAGCCCAGCATCTGGCCCCCATATCACTTCATTCTTCTGGATCCGGGTACTTCCCCTGTGAACTGCAGTCTACCACCTAGCCTGCCAACACAATCCTGATGACTGCTGACTTTAAGGGGCAGCTGTGTAGCTCTGAGCCTCCACTCACTCTCCCCTTGGTCACTCTCACCTTAGACAGGTGAGACACCTGGGGCCCTGGGATCATGGGGCTCCAGGGACAGAAAAAAACTCTTCCCATGGGACCTGCTCCTTTCTTTTCCTTTTTTAAAAAGTGTTTACTTATTTTTGAGAGAGAGAGAGAATGGGGGAGGGACAGAGGGAGAGGGAGACACAGAATCTGAAGCAGGCTCCAGGCTCTGAGTTGTCCGCACAGAGCCCAACATGGGGCTAGAACCCACTAACTGTGAGATCATGACCTGAGCCAAAGTTGGACGCGTAACCGACTGAGCCACCCAGGTGCCCCAGGACCCACTCCTTTCTGATCAATGTCCTGGGAGGGCCGTGCTTCTGGTCACCTTGTCCTGCATCACTCATGTCTCTGTGTCCCTGCATCCTCATAGCCTCATAGAGGCCCCGAGCGCTTCAGCCTGGACCAAACCAGACTGCTCTGTCCTCCTCCCATGGACCTCCTCTCGGGTTGCTCCTCTATGTTCCTGAAGGCTGAGGTCACAGCCCCAGCCATGTCCCCAACCTCGTGGATGGGCATCAAGCCCTTAGCCAAGACCCCAAACGACTCTCTCCAAGGCTGCCCCAGTGCCCCTAGTCAGAACCAGTCTCTGGACCCCACACAGGTGTCTGCTCTGGAAGAAGGGAAGGAGTCCCCAGTTTTGGACCAACGCCCCTAACCCAGGCCCTAGGACCTGACCACATTCAATTGTCAGACTCTAAAGGTAAATGCTTGTACCATTGAAGTTCTTCCTTCTGGTTTCCCTGAGACCAACCCACCTCCCCCAGATCCCACAGATTTGCTAAGGGCAAATCTTCCCTTAAGGCTGGGAAGCAGATAGGAAACGGCCTCCAGAGAAAAGTAACTTTCCTCAGACAACAGAGGGCTGGGACATGTTGGGAAATATGGTGAAAGCCACTTACCTAGGACGGTGAGCTGGGTTCCTTCACTGAAAACAAGCCAGGGTGATTGAGTTTCGGACCAAAACCCACCGGGCCAGCACCTGGGGCCTGCCCCGTGGGGGCCAGGCCAGAACAGGAACCTGTGATGGGCACAGGGCTGTAGCAGGTGGGGCTGGGCAGCCAGCCTCCCAGAAGCTGTGGCATACCTGGATGAGCCCACAGCCCTGAGGTGTCCCTGTGCCTAGCCCTCTGTTTGAGGCCAACTCCACCCATGGTCTTGTGTATTACCCCTTTCCAAGGCTGTCTTGGTCATCTCCTGATCCTCAGTGCTGACAGTGACACTGCATACAGTAGGTGTTCAATAAATCCTTGAGTGCCTCGTTCTTTCACATGGTGTGGCAGAGTGAGTCCTAAACTGGCTCAGACCTGTCTGACCTCTCTGGCCTCATTTAGGGCTTCTGAGGGTTCCTCTCCTACAATTTCTCATGGTCTAGCCAGGTGGCTTCCTCCCTGAGCCTACTGGTCTGGGACTGGGTCATTCCTGACTCATGGTGCTCCCATGTGAAGACCCACACACACACTTTTTCTCTACACATCAAAGACACAATTCAATTCCACCTCTTTTATGAAGCTTTCTCTGATCTCTCAGACCACTGTCTTTCTGAGACACCTGTCTGTCCATCTATCCATGTGTCCATCCATCCACCCATCATCCACATATCCATCCATTCATCCATCCACCCACCCATCCATCCAACAGTAGCTCCAGGCACTGTTTCACATGCTTGGACATGGCAGGCTCCCCTGGCTTTCATCTCCATCTCTCCCTGAAAGCTCTCAGGTCAGAACCAACAATGTCCTCTTCCTGGTCAATTCCCTAGTTCCTATTGTACATTATGGCTCTACAGGATTCAACAGAGAGTCAGCCTCTTTTTTCAGTGACTCTCTTCTTGTTGGCACCTGAGATCCCACATTCTTCTCCCCTGACTTCTCTTTCACCCCAGTCAATGCATGGCAGCTGACTCCCAGACTGGCACCCTGGGTCCTCCTCCTTCTTTGCCATCTTCCTACATTGTGGATTCCCACTACTGCCCATTTTGTAATGCTCGAGTCTATTCCAGCCCCAAACCCTCTCCTTGGCTCTCCTTAAATTACCTACTGACCATCTCCAGCTGGATGTCCAATAAGAATCTCAAACTCTCCGTGTCCAAATGAGACTGACCACCCTTTCCCCCTAACCCAGCCCTTTGTCTGTCTTCACCTTGTCACACGTGACCACGAGTGCTCTCACTACCCAACTCTCAGACCCAAAACCTGTCTTCTTAGATCGTGCATCTAAATATTCCCTTTTAAAGTTAAAACAAGGGGCGCCTGGGTGGCTCAGTTGGTTGAGCGTCCGACTTCAGCTCAGGTCATGATCTCATGGTCTGTGAGTTCGAGCCCCGTGTCGGGCTCTGTGCTGACAGCTTGGAGCCTGAAGCCTGCTTCAGATTCTGTGTCTCCCTCTCTCTCTGACCCTCCCCCATTCATGCTCTGTCTCTGTCTCAAAAATAAATAATAAAACATTTAAAAAAATTTTTTTAATAAATAAATAAATAAAATTAAAACAAGACTCAGAATAATTGAGAAGCAATAGAATCACCCTCTGATACTCCAAAACCACAAGAAGCCCCAGGTTTTGCCTTTGCTGATGTTAACTCCTAACTGATACAAGGATGTGACATTAAGTTGGGGCTTATTGCATGCAAACATCTCCGCCAGAGGATTGGACCAGTGCATTTCCACCTTAGAAGCTAGTCCAGTCAGATGTTGTTGGTTTTGTGCTGCAATATGATTTTTGTTTTAAAATTATGATAATATTACATATATAACACAATTAAGCAATAAAATACATTTAAATACCTTTTTAAAGTGTAATATTTATCTCTCCATCTGTCCTGTTGTGTGTAGTGCCATTTTCCTCTTTTTTTCTTTTTCTTTCTTTCTTTCTTTCTTTCTTTCTTTCTTTCTTTCTGTGTATGTGTGGTAAAACATACATAGCATAAAATTTTACCAATCTCAGTCATTCTATGAGGCTAGCATTACCCTAATACCAACACCAGACAATGACATTATAAGAAAAGAAAACTACAGAACAATATCTCTTATTAATATAGATGCAAAAATCTTCAACAAAATATTTGCCAATTGAATACAAGAATGTATTAAAAGAATTATACACCACAACCAAGTGGGATTTATCCCAGGCATACAAGGCTGGTTCAGCATTTAAAAGTCAGTTAATGGGGGCGCCTGGGTGGCGCAGTCGGTTAAGCGTCCGACTTCAGCCAGGTCGCGATCTCGCGGTCCGTGAGTTCGAGCCCCGCGTCAGGCTCTGGGATGGCTCAGAGCCTGGAGCCTGTTTCCGATTCTGTGTCTCCCTCTCTCTCTGCCCCTCCCCCGTTCATGCTCTGTCTCTCCCTGTCCCAAAAATAAATAAACGTTAAAAAAAATTGTTAAAAGTCAGTTAATGTAATCTATCATGTCAACAAGCTAAAGAAGAACAAAATCACATGATCATATCAATAGATGCAGAAAAAGCATCTGACGTAACCCAACACCATTTATGACAAAAAAAAAAAAAAAAAAAAAAA